TTGGGGAGGGTTTGGGGGGCTTGGAGAAGATCTGGGGGGTCTTTAGGGGGATTTGGGGGGGGTTTGGGGGGATTTGGGACACGGTGGGGGGGGGGATTCCTACAGGAACTTTTGGGGAGGTTTTAGATGATCTTGGACCCGTTCCTGTACCTCACTGCGGGGTTTTGGGGTGCCCTGGATGGTTTTGGGGGTTTTGGGGTGCCCTGGGCAGTTTTGGGGTGCCCCCAGCACCCCGTTTCCCCCCGCAGTGGCCGTTCTGGCCAGACCCGTTCCAGCAGCGGGCGGCTCTGTGCCTCGAGCGCGGGCACTGCGGGGTCACTGTGGGGTTTTGGGGGTTTTGGGATGTTCCAGGATGGTTTTGGGGGTTTTGGGGTGCCCTGGGCAGTTTTGGGGTGCCCCCAGAACCCCGTTTCCCCCCGCAGTGGCCGTTCTGGCCGGACCCGTTCCAGCAGCGGGCAGCTCTGTGCCTCGAGCGCGGGCACTGCGGGGTCACTGCAGGATTTTGGGGGTTTTGGGATGTTCCAGGATGGTTTTGGGGTGCCCTGGGCAGTTTTGGGGTGCCCCCAGAACCCCGTTTCCCCTTGCAGTGGCCATTCTGGCCAGACCCGTTCCAGCAGCGGGCGGCTCTGTGCCTCGAGCGCGGGCACTGCGGGGTCACTGCAGGATTTTGGGGGTTTTGGGGGTTTTGGGGTGCCCTGGGCAGTTTTGGGGTGCCCCCAGAACCCCGTTTCCCCCCGCAGTGGCCGTTCTGCCCAGACCCGTTCCAGCAGCGGGCGGCTCTGTGCCTCGAGCGCGGGCACTGTGCGTGCACTGCGGGGTCACTGTGGGGTTTTGGGGGTTTTGGGATGTTCCAGGAAGATTTTGGGGTGCCCTGGGCAGTTTTGGGGTGCCCCCAGAACCCCCTTTTCCCCCGCAGTGGCCGTTCTGCCCAGACCCATTCCAGCAGCGGGCGGCTCTGTGCCTCGAGCGCGGGCACTCGGTGCTGGTGGCCGCTCACACCTCGGCCGGCAAGACGGCGGTGGCCGAGTACGCCATCGCGCTGGCCCGGCGCCACATGACCCGGTGAGACCCCCAAAAACCACCATGGGGACCCCAAAAATCACCTCGGCGGTCCCAAAAACCCCTCGAGGGGCCCCAAAAACCACCCCGGGGGCCCCAAAAGCCACATCAGAGACCCCAAAAACCACCCCGGGTGTCCCAGAAACCCCTTGGGGGGGGGGTCCCAAAACAGCCTTGGGGGTCTCAAAACTGTCTTGGGGGTCACTAAACTACTTTGGGGGGACCCAGAAACCACTTGGGCAGCCCAAAATCCACCCCGGGGGTCCCAAAAACCACCCTAGGGGGTCCCAGAACGGCCGTGGAGGGCACCAAACCACTTCAGGGGGACCTAAAAACCACCTCAGGGGACCCAAAAGTGCTTTGGGGGACCCTAAACCACCTTGGGGGTCCCTAAACTGCTTTGGAGAGCACCAAAAACCTCCTTGGGGGGGTCCCAAAACCACCTTGGGGGAGCCCTAAAAACCTTGGGTGTCCCAAAACCCCTTTGGGGGGCCCTAAAAACCAATTTGGGCGTCCCAAAACTGCCTCAGGGATCTCCAAAACCACCTTGGGAGTCCCTGGGATGTCCCCCCAGTATCCCCAATCACCTCCCTGGCTGCTCTGAGACCCCCCAAACCCCTCGGGGGTCCCTGGGGTGACCCCCCCGTGTCCCCAAACCCCTCGGGGGTCCCTGGGGTGACCCCCCCGATATCCCCAAACCCCTCGGGGGTCCCTGGGGTGACCCCCCCGTGTCCCCAAACCCCTCCCTGGCTGCTCTGTGACCCCCCAAACCCCTCGGGGGTCCCTGGGGTGACCCCCCTGATATCCCCAAACCCCTCGGGGGTCCCTGGGGTGACCCCCCCGTGTCCCCAAACCCCTCGGGGGTCCCTGGGGTGACCCCCCCGTGTCCCCAAACCCCTCGGGGGTCCCTGCGGTGACCCCCCCCATGTCCCCAATCCCCTCCCTGGCTGCTCTCAGACCCTCCAAACCCCTCGGGATGACCCCCCCGTGTCCCCAAACCCCTCGGGGGTCCCTGGGGTGACCCCCCCGTGTCCCCAAACCCCTCGAGGGTCCCTGGGGTGACCCCCCCGTGTCCCCAAACCCCCCCAGGTCCATCTACACGTCCCCCATCAAGGCCCTGTCCAACCAGAAGTTCCGGGATTTTCGGGAGACCTTCGGCGACGTGGGGCTGCTGACGGGGGACGTGCAGCTGCGCCCCGAGGCCGCCTGCCTGGTCATGACCACCGAGATCCTGCGGTGAGGGGCTGCCCGGGGGTCTCGGGGGGCCGGGGAGGGGGCTGGGACCCCCCCAAAATCCAGCCAGCCTCACCCCCCGTCCCCAGCTCGATGCTGTACAACGGCTCCGACGTCATCCGCGACCTGGAGTGGGTGATCTTCGACGAGGTGCACTACGTCAACGACGACGAGGTGGGGGGCTGGGGGTCCCCCGGGGGGCTGGGGGTCTCTGGGAGGGGTCTGGGGGGGTCCCCCGTGGGGTTTTTGGGGTTCCGGGGTGGGTGTGGGGAGCTCTGGTGTCGTTGGGGGTCTGCCCTGGGTGATGTTTCATGGGGTGTGTTACATTAGTGGTGATGGGAGGGGGCTTCCTGAGGGGTCTGGGGTCTTTGGGAGGGGTCTGGGGTCTCTGGGAAAGGTCTGGGGGGTCTCTGGGGGATCTTTCATAGGAAATTTGGGGTTATGGGATGGGTTTGGGGAGCTCTGGTGTCATTTGGGGTCTGCCCTGGTGATTTTTGGTAGGATGGATTCTGTCAGTGATGATGGGATGGGGGCTCCTAAGGGGTCTGGGGGTCTCTGGGAGGGGTCTGGGGTCTCTGGGAGGGCTCTGGAGGGGTCTGGGGGTCTCTGGGGGGGTCCTCCGTGGGGTTTTTGGGGTTCCAGGGTGGGTTTGGGGAGCTCTGGTGTCGTTCAGGGTCTGCCCTGGGTGATTTTTGGATAGGGTGGATTAAAATCAGTGATAATGGGAGGGGGGCTCCCAAGGGGTTTGGGGGTCCCGTGAAGGATTTTGAGAGGTTTTCATGGGGTTTGGGGAGGGGTCTTGGGGGTCTCTGCCACCACCTATGACCCTCACTGGGTCATTTTCAATGAACCTCTCTTTCTCTGCGATGATGATGATGATGATGATGGCGCCAGAGGCGGGGAGGTCCCAACAGAATTTGAGGGGGTTGCTGGGGGTCTGGGGGTTCCCAGGGGGTTTTGGGGACCCCCCTGACCCCTCTGTGCCCCCTCACCGCAGCGGGGCGTGGTGTGGGAGGAGGTGCTGATCCTGCTGCCCGAGCACGTCAAGCTGGTGCGGGGGGGCGCCACCGTCCCCAACGCCCTCGAGTTCGCCCAGTGGGTCGGGTACGGACAGGGGGGGATTTGGGGG